TGGGGGCTGGAGAGGGGGAGAGAATTGTAATTCATATTCCAGTTAAACAGAACCATTACAGACACCTTTTTTCATCTCATTACCTCACCTTGGTCTTTTCTTTTGCATGCAGTCTCATACAGGGATGGTTTCCAGTGAGGAACTGTTTCTTATAAATATAAGAGGGTTTGACATGGATAGAAATGTAGTCTGGCATGTAATTTCAATCTCTTGCCCAAGGTCTGTTTCTAAAATTAGCTTTAATGGCAGCAGTTAAAAACAAAACAAAAGCTGAGATTCTTAGGGGTAACAGTATCCTTGGGAGATGAAATAATTTGTTATTTGTTATCATTTGCACTGTAATTAGTATATAATATCTGCTTCACCCTTATTCTTGTGTTATGCTCCAAGTTACTCTACATAATTTCTTCTGGACACCTGTGAACTTGAGTTCCTGTCAGGGCTATAAAAGTATAAACAGTGCATCCTGTAATTACCTTTCCTTTTCCCACCCCCCATTTCTCCCTCTTGGTAATTCTTGACCTGCTACTCAATTCAGCCCAGTAAAAATTTGTTACCTCAATTGCTGATGTTTGATGAAATTTTTCTTACAGCTCCAGAAATAGTAAACTATGAACCACTTGGACTAGCTGCAGATATGTGGTAAGTTTTTAATGTTTGGTTTTTTTTTTTTTTTTTTTCACAGGTTGATGTTTGATGAAATTTTTCTTACAGCTCCAGAAATAGTAAACTATGAACCACTTGGACTAGCTGCAGATATGTGGTAAGTTTTTAATGTTTTGTTTTTTTTTTTTTTTTTTTCACAGGTTGCTCTACTATTATTTTTTCCCAGTTTGCTCTGAATAGAATCTGTTCTACTGCAACAAATTAAAAACAAAAAACTTAAGTGCAGATAATGACTCTTTGTTCTGTCTTTCTGTTTTTATGCATTCTTTTTAATTAAAAGGTAAGCATTTAACTTCTGCCAAATTACAATGAAAAACTTCAGTGATGGCAGTTATAGAGTTAACAGTTTGCCATTGTCCACTGCAGAGGAGCACTCTTAAAAGAAAACATGTTCCTGCAGTGCTTGTGACAGCTTTATTTATAAGAGCACTGCATGCAGAGGAGACCTGCGTACTAATCTGATCTGCTGAGAAGGCAGGCGAGAGGTTGCCCCAGATAAAAACATCCTTGCTTCTATTTCTTTGTATTTCTGATGTGTGCTGTAGTAATTACCTGCTAGAGTAGAAATACATAGACTTCAAATTTCTACATTGCTTGGAAGTTATATGTAAATTTCACGTTTTCCCTGAAACACCATTCTTTAAAGAGAGATGTTAACGGTTATTTAAAGCCATGATGGCTCTCCTGTCTGTATAGCGGCTACTATTGACTTTTTCGTATTGTGTACATTAAGAAGAATACAGGTGATGTAGAACCCCTGCAATTAATCTCCTTTGTTTTTTAGGAGCATAGGAGTCATCACCTACATACTGTGAGTACAACAGATTGGCTCCTGTAGAAGTGTTCTTACAGCTCTTCCCTTTAGTCATTTAAGAAAGCAGCTGCACTCATGGGGTGGGCAGTGGTTTGTCTAATGGGCAAGTGTTATCCTGCAGCCTTTTCAAGTTTAGAATAAGGTGTAGAAAAGGAAGGGCATTCTGAACAGATGAAGAACTAATGTCTCTAGCATCACTGGGTATTTCTGCTGCTTATGGGACCTCATCAGCTCCTGATGGTAGAAGCCCAAGTGTATTGGTTGCTCATAGAATGGCTATAAGCTACCAGCGTGTGGAGAGAATAGAAACAGAAAGTGTAGTAGTACCACTTACAAGGTGTGTTATTTCAGGTGAAAACAGGGAAGTTTTAATTTGTTTGCAAAGGCAGCAGTCTAGATTACTGTACATAAATATGGTCACCCATATTCAAAAAAGGTGAATTTAAGCTGGGACAGGAGCAGAGAAGTTGACTCTGGGAACTGAGAATTCATCTTACAGGAGAAAAATGGCCGTGTTAAAGCTGGTAAAGCAAAGGCTGGTTGGAATATAATTGCAGTCAATATGCACAAGGGGGGGGAAAAGATAGTTTTTAGAAGAAAAGTGTGTCAACTGGTGATGAATAAACAAAAGTAGGAAATTATGACAAGCTCAAACTTTCAAATAAATGAGGTTCCATGGGCATCCTGGTAACAAGCAGTCGAGTGAGTTTTAAGATGGAGCTTGCCACTTTGTGAAACTGCTTGTGTGGCAGTTGGACGCATGCAGTGGAGGAACAGCACTTGTTCCTTCAAGAATTCTTTCCTCTGGTTTGATATGAGAATTATAGAAGTGGTCAGGGATCCTTGGACCTAAGTGCTTCGATTGAAATCAAGCTCCTGTGACTGCTGGGGAGCAGTGCATGGTGGATACTATATGCTTGGAAATGGCTCACCCTCACATTCCTACCCTGGGCTTCTGCTGTTCCTTATGACTCTCAGAGGACGAACTTGCTGCCAGACTTAAAGAAGGTGCACTCTGGTATTAGAGGGATTGGCACTACATGGCTCAGGGCTCAGTACAAGTATGGAGGCTTGAAGGGGAGTGATTGTCTTTTCAGTGTGGAAAATAAATGTAGTGGAATTAAATCCACGCTTGGGCCATACCCAAGACTTAGACCCGAAAAGCTGTAAAAGAGCTATGGTTTGAGAAATCAGATTCAGTGCAACAAATTCCCTTCTGTCCTATGGTGCAGAAAAAGATAGGGATACTGGTTGAGCCTAAGCTCAGGTAAAGAGGTCTAAAATATTGTCCAGACCCTTGCTTTTTATCAGCTAGTAATGAGTGACATAGTAATTAAGGTTGAAAATTGTCTCCCTACAAATGATCAGAAAAAAAGAGCATGCTTCTTATGACGGAGGGGTCAGCTTGTGTGATATGCTACGTACTAGGAATTTGTATGCCTTTAACTAGTATTGCCTGTTAATTTTAAAGCCTTTTGTTCTGAAGAATTCTGAATAAATGGGGTGTGTTTAAGGATACCGCCTACTTCAGCAAACATGGCAGCAATCAAATGGATGGCATCATCAGGTGTAGAGATCAAAATGCCTGTAAGTCCTTAATTCAGTAACCAGTAGAGTGATTCACTGGGTTGTAAGGGTGAAGTCTCTATTACTGAGGTTGGCTGTTAGATGTTTACAGGCACTGAGTCATGATATGACAAAAGTAATTTGCATTAGATGCTAGGATTTGAGAATCCTCCCATTCCACAGACCATAAAACTGAGTCCCGAAGAGGGGGGAAAAAAAATTCAGAGGAGAACAGAGCACTGTTGGGCTTCCAGCAAAGTCCAGAAAATGGAATTACAGCACTTCATGGCACAGTTTTGGGAAAGGGAAAAGAAAGCAAGGCTCTAGGGCAGGTTTCCAAGCTTTAGTTTTGGAACCACGCCCATGGTCTGTGTGGCATGGTGCCTTCTTGTAGCTGCCTTTGTGGCTAACAGAAATGGAACAAAAGCTTAAGAGCGAGTATGTAAAACCTGTTAAGAAGGGAGATTGACTGTAGCTTATGGGGTGAAGCTTACTGCATCAAAGACAAATGGAAGACCTCACTTGTGTTGCCTTGCTGTGTCAGCTGCTTTGGTGTCATTGTATGATTGTAGAGGGAGAGGAAACACTTTATGCACTCAAACATTTTTTCCCGTGGATAAAACCACATGTGGTTGCTGAGGACTGGGCTGAATGGCCCAGGTGGTCCCATCTAACTTTCTGTTTACCCCTTAATTCCCAGTCAACGTGGTAGTGGCAATACAGACAGGGTAAAAGGTCTGTTGGACAGGATCATGTAAGCAAGCAGTTTAGTATTCAAAACCTCAGTTTAGAGCTCAGGAGTTTGCTGCAGTCCTGTTTTGAGCCTGCTGCATCCTGAAACTGTGCTCTCAAAGCTAGACATAATAGATAAGCGTAATAATAGCCCAGAAGATTTTAAAAAAGAGATGAGATCTATTTCCTTGGTATAAATAACATTTGCTGTGAAACAGGCTTTTGCAAATCAGCATCCCTGTGGATTGGGGTGGGGAGAGAAGGCAGGGCAGGAGGAGTTTGCAATGAATCTGTTCTGACACCTGAATTTTGTGGAGCGGAGGTAAATAGTCATCAAAGATGAAAGTCATCAGTCACAGTTGAGAGATAGGCAAAGCAGGATGAAAGCTTTTTCTAAGTAGATTGCTGAATAGCATTTTATTATGACGATGTCTCCATTATATCCTTGCAGTTGGAGCAGAGTGCCAACAGAATGAAATTTTACATTGTTCAGAAACAGTTGGATTTTATTGCAGCCAAAGTCCTTTTGTTTGTGGATTCATTTTAATGAGCAGCATGGCCCTACCTCTCTGTCAGAGTCGGCCCCTGGGCAAGGCCATGCACCTGACTTCCAATCACACATTGTATTTTGGTTCCAGCTGGGAAAGGTCTCTTGGCTGAACCCACTGTGCAGGGAACTTAACAGTAGCTTTGCAGACAGAAAAGCAGTAGGGACAGGACTTTTCCTACCCAAAGAAAATCCAAAGAAACACTACTTCGCTTGGAGCTGATAGAAGCTTCTGCCTGGTAGTGTTTGTGGGTTCACAGGGACAGAAGCTCTCAGCAGCTCAAGCTTTTTCTCATTTGATTAGCAATGACTTCAATGAGACACTTAAGAGACGAGAATCTGTACATTTCTATTTGTGTGCACACATTAGTGCTGCATTAGAGACTTTGTAGATGAGTCTGACTCATAACCACAGGTGTAGTGAGCCAAAGCTGGACCTGTTATTTCCCATGTGGCATGGCTGCTACAACACGAGATCCACAAATGTCCTGAGACTATATTACACAGTCACTGTAATTTCTTTAGGAGACCTCTGCTGTTTAGATTTCCAATTGATTCTTCTTTCTGGCTTATCTAGGCTTAGTGGTGCGTCGCCCTTCCTTGGGGAAACTAAACAAGAAACACTTGCCAACATCACAGCTGTGAATTATGAATTTGATGAAGAATTTTTCAGCAATACCAGTGACCTGGCAAATCCAGAAAGATACGTTTGTCTCTAAGGTAAACCTGGTGAAATGCAGCCTGACAAGTAACCTGCAAAGCTTTACCTGCAGTGTGTATTGCCATTCGAGAGCCAGACAGGAGGCAAAGTTCTGCTGCTTTGCCCGTGTTAATCACTGCACCCAAAAGCTCTAACAAAAGGAACTAAAATCTAGTCAGTTAAATTTTACTTTCAGGACTGAATTCTCACCTGAGTCAAGCTGGTACAACAGGGTGTAGGTGAAGGGCTGAAAACTGTGTGCAAAATCTCTAGTTCTGGGTAACTACCACTCAAGTGTTTCAGTCTGTTATGAACTACTTGCAAGGAGGTGACATGATTGCAGAGTATGCTCCCAGTGCTGCAAGGGCAGAAAAATCTTCGCATGTTCTTCCTTAAGTCTCTCTGCATCTGTTGCAATCACATAAAATTTGCATGACAGCTGTGCAGATCTTTATTCCCAGTTTGTAGGAACCACAGAGCTTTTTTTTTTTTTTTTAAACCTTTTCTTGGTTTTAATACCGTGCACACAGAAGTAACATCTCCTTCCCCCATAACCCTACTTTTCTGGGAGGGACATCAGGCCATTGCAGTTCTTTTTAATGGCTTCATTAGGGGAGAAAATGGGTATTAGAGAGAAAGAGGCAAGGTGTTCAGTCAAGATTTCTGCAAAACTTCAGGCCTTAGAATAGGTTAGAGTAGGTGGGGTCTGACAGGCTTGCTCAGGTCTAGCAACCTCCTTTTAAGAAAGGACAAGTCAGTGATACTGACATTTGTCCCATGTACAGAGGCAGTCCCTGTGCAATGCTGTGTTTCTACCTTTGATTCTCAGTGCTCTTAATGTGCTGTTCACCAAACTGTCACAATGCAGAAGGAAATTAGGATTGATCAGATTTGATTAGGTTTGAAGTATTCCTCTGAGAAATGTTGCTTTCAGGAAATGGCAGCTCCTGCAGCAATGTAATATTGTGTTCCAAAGGACAGGTTTGATATCATTCATGTTATACACCTTGATTCAGACCAAGTTGTATTAAAGGTGTATAGAAAGGATTTATTTTCTAAGCATGTAGGATGAACAAAACAAAGCAATGTTTTATCACTTTTTATGGAAGGATACACAAAAATACAGGTGGATTCTGATCAAGTAAGAATTAAAACTGTGCGGAGTGAGGCTAGTTCCTTACTGAAACTTAGAACAGTTGCTAAACTACCCACAGGCAGCATGCCTCATGGAGAAATGTAACCCTGAAATTTGAGAGTTAGTCCTCACATTATCTTGATAAATGCTTCATATGAAGCCTGGGAGAAGTGTAGGTCAATGGACTTGTGTACAAGGTATTTCTCATTCAAGTCTATGGGGTTTTTTTGTGTTGTTTTTTAGGAAACGGCTCACGATTCAGGAAGCTCTGTCTCATCCATGGATAACGGTAAGACTAAATAGAATTGAGACAGATCTTGCTTTTTACCATGAGCAAAGCAGAGATATTCTTCTCGCTATTATTCGTGGTGTTAAATGGAAAACTGTCCTCTAAGTACTTAAAGACCCTAGGTGTCTCAAAGAGATGCACTGGGAAGAAATTGGTTGGGTGTGACTAAATCCTTGGATTTCTGCAAAGGACTTCTTTTATTATCATAACTTTCAAAATGAGGGGGACAAAGCTTTGGTGTTTATTGCACTTACAGTATCCTACATTAGACTGTGCTTTGCATTTTTCTGTTTGCATGCACAAATACTGCATCTTGGGCTTAGTGCTTTCTTGAGTTCAGAGTTGACTACAGCCAATGTGGAAAATACAATTTCTCTCAAGATATAACTGCTGTACCAAGTGTGTTGATTTGTGTGTCTGTATATATTTTTTTTCATCATAAACATTGCTTGCTTTTGTGGATAAGTCTCTTACTGAAAATACATTTAGCTAATCTCAGCATGACTAATGAGGATGTGTGAAATGCTGTTTTTGCTCCGCATTGCACAAAACATTAACTGGAGCGTTTTCAGGATTGTTGGTTTTCCACTTACAAATATTGATAGCTTTGAGACTGTTAACTGCTAAAAATTAACATGAAAATACATTGCGACCCTGTTATTCACACTTATCACATCGGAATGAATGCACATCACTTGTTACATTCATTTTCATGTTTGTGTGTTTGTTTTTTTTTTTTTTTCTTTTAATCAAATGCATGAAGGAAAATCTGGGGGAGCAAAGACTCTCCCAGCATTGTGGAAGTCCAGGCTGCATTCTTTGTGTAGAGTTTTTGAATTACTGCACTGTCTTGTAAACGTTCAGTAATATTGGTTCCTCTGTCTGACGACTTACCAGCTGAAAGAAGAAACAAAAGTCCAAGAAAACAAGAAGGTTGGGAACACACAGCTGAAGACAAAACGCCTGAGAGAGTACACCATAAAGTGCCATTCGAGTATGCCTCCCAATAATACCTACATCAACTTTGAGCGCTTTGCCCGAGTAGTAGAAGACATTTCACTTATGGAACGGGGTTTCAGTGCTTTGGCTGCATCCCACGATTCCTTGGAGGAGGACATTGATGCTCTGGTTTCCATTTATAATGAGAAAGAAGCTTGGTATAAAGAAGAGAATGAAAGCGTGAGGCACAAGCTGTCTCAGCTGAAGTATGAATACCGTAAAACTGAATCCTTGAGAAGACATCTACAAGATGATATCAAGACTGTAGGCACTAGTCTTACAGGCATAACTGGGAAATACACTGATCTGCAGAGTCAGTATGAATCTCTCAGTCAAGAACTGTCTGAGGAACTGAAGTGGATACAGGATTTAATGAGTAGTTTTCAACTGGAAAATGAAGCCTGTGTGAATGGAAACTTTGACTCTGTTTTCAACAAAGGTGTTAATGAATCAGTAATGGACCTGTTAAATAGATCTCGCTGTGAAGAATTCCTTGCAGGATTGAATCTTGATGTAGCAGAATCACATCAGTAATGTTGTAGATCAGGTTAGGTGCAGGGTTTGCTGCCTCTTTCAATGTACAGCAGTTTAAGAAGTTTTCAGTGCATAGATTCTACAAAAAACATCACCTGCAACTAAAATAGAAATTCTGATGTATTGCACAAGACCCAAACCCAAACCATAAACTCCCAGTGGTTTGTAGTGTTGAAGTTTTTTTCCCATGTTCAGTGTCTGAACTTACAGGAACTAGATTATCACCGTGGTATGGCCACATCTAACCCTACAGCCTATATCATACTTGAACACATATTACAGTTCCTGAAAATTACTAAGTAGTTAACTTGGAATAAAGAGTAGGTCAGTCTGTACTTAGCAGAAGTTGGGTGCCTGGAAACTGATAAAAGTCTCATGATAGCATCTTTGGTTGGATGCAGGCGGCTCTATAGACCATATGAGAAAAATATTTGCAAAGGTTAAATCTATCCTGTAAAACGAAGTAAATGGTGTAGTCATTTAACATTTAGCTAGTACTGTGGAAATTCTCTGTGAAATGGCTGATGGTGAAGAAAAGTTAAGATTATTTTTTAGGCCAGTTATGCAGGGTAAAATCTTTTACCATCAAAGGTGTTAGGTGTTGATTAATCCTTTAGTTTAAAATTCAGCTAAGTTCCCTGTCCTATACCAAAAAAATCCTATTCAAAAGACACAGTTGGGAACTTGTAATGAACTGATCAGATAACTGTGTATGTAATTTTACACTGCAAATACTAATTTGTGAGTGATAAGTGATAACATAGACTTCTGGTTTGCTTTCTACAGTAAAGAAGATGACAAAGCTACAACTCATTTAACATGTTGTGCGGGTTTTTGAGATGAGTGTTCTTGCTGTGGAGATTTTTTTTAAGTTTTAGAAAGTAAAAGAAAAGTTGGCCCGAACTTGAATCATGCCCCACTGTCTTGTATTTCAAAGGAGTCATTTGATTATACTGTATTAATATGCACAGATGTACCCTTCTCATTTTTGAACACAATAAATAGTTATTTATGCAGGATGCAATTGTTCCCTGATGGTGTAGTTAGTGACTGAAAAAGAGATGTCAGGCTTCTGTGTACTGAAAAGAGTTGCCAGCCTAGGCTCTGCAAGCTAGCTTACAGCCCCTTTGCTTAGCTGTACGAATTTGCTGCAAGGTGACTGTTAGGCAGCTACAAGAAGCAGTGAGATAGTAGCCAGGCACCCCTGCATCACTGCTCAAGTCCATCTAGAGTGGATCTTTATTTATATATTAAGAGTATGTCTTTTACTGCCCAGCCCCTCTCCTCCTTTTCCAGAGAAGTTAATGACCTGACTAAATTGAGCTGTTGTTGTTCATAATATTATTAAGAATAATGTTTCCTACTTTGAGATAAAAAGATAAAATCATAGTCTCATCCAATTTGTGTAGAGTACAGTAGAGCCATCACTGCCACATCCTCATAAAGACATGCAGAGACTGGTGAAAATGCAGAGTTCTGAAAACAGTTACTCAATAGGGGTATTGTTACTCCTGTCATTGTACTTGATGGAAGATGGAAACTGGATGTGCTCTCTGTAGCATCTTTCTTTGCACAAGATGTAAAATTTTCAAAAGCTTCAAAATAGTGTAGATAGCCAGGAGATGTCCTTAACAAGGTGGTGTTGATGACTGGGGAGAATTGGGCTCCACTGTGACAAATAGTCCAGAGGAGGGCCACAAAATGATCCGAGGGCTGGAGCACCTCTCCTATGAGGACAGGCTGAGAGAGTTGGGTTTGTTCAGCCTGGAAAAAAGAAGGCTGAGGGGAGACCTGATTATGGCCTTTCAATACCTAAAGGGGGCCTATAGGAAAGATGGGGAAAATCTTTTTAGTAGGGCCAGCTGTGACAGGACAAGGGGTAGTGGTTTTAAACTAAACCAGGGTAGGTTTAGACTAGATATAAGGAAGAACCCTTCCAACCCAAAACATTCTATGATTCTATGATTCTATGAAATAGGATTGAGAATTTTACTTATGTCCATTTTTTATTCTCTTGGAACACTTCAGTTGTCGCTTCTGCAGGTTCCTTTGAGCTGGAAGACCCATGAGATACTGTCCAGGGGAACTGGAACACAAGATTTTTTATGACGTTCAGAGAGTTTTAATTCTTAAAAAGTAACTTAAAGCTTAGTGAGAGTTAGTATCTGCAGAAAAGACTCTCAGGAAAGAGAGTCTGCCTTCCCTCAGCTGTGATCTCATATTCTCTGTTTGTGTAGATTTTCTTTATGAACAAATGCACTGGCACGATGAGAAGGAACATTAAATGAGGCCACTCTGTTACTGAGCATGTTTGGGTGAGGTTAATATTGTTGTGAGTCAGCCCTTGAGGCTAGTGCTCTCTGAGCTGATGGAGGTCACTGCCATACTGCTTTTTAGAAGATATTCTGATAATTGAGAAAATTACAAGGTCACTGGTTTGCAGGCTACTTAGAAATTGAAAGGCAATTATTAAGAGTCTGGAATACTGTAAAGTGAGCTATTTTGATTCAGTGATGGTTCTGCTGCTGAAAGGGCACTCAGAAATTTTTCATGATGACTTTACAGCTGACATTTAGCCAGTGACATTTTTTCCACTTCAAATTGATTTCTACTCAGCGTTTTGTTGCACTGTGTTAGCCATTTGCAGCATGAGGAAATGATACTTAATGCTTAAATGTCCCAGTTCTGTTGTATGCAAATGGTGTATACATGTAAATGAGAAAGAGGCCTAGCTGATAGCTTGGCCCCTTGAATTACTGCTGAGGTATCTGCACAAATGCTGTATCTGTAGCATTTGATGAGAAAAGCACATTTGTTGTCTCATAAACATTATCAAATATTTTGCTGAAAAAAATGTTTAAATTCTCATTGATGTATTTTCCATTCTCTTTTGGTACTCTTGCTTCTTCAGGTGTCTGGCTTGGTTGCGTTCCAGTCCAGTTCAGTACAAGTATTTCTGGATTATCCACCGCCTACTTATATAGATCAGAACTGCTGGAATGGTTGTTACTCCATAAAGTCCATAATCTTTGAACGGTTGATTCCTGGCCTTTCTCTTTTCACTTTTGTCAGATCTGGTTTTGAACTTTTTGTCCCTCAGTCTGTCAGATACAGTTTTCTGGTCTATGCAAATTTTGATGTGATTTTGGAGTTGAAAGGTGCTTCATTTTCAGAAGGAGCATGTCAAGGTTTGTGGAACATCTGCTCATTAAGACAAGATTGGCATCCAAAAATTTTAGGCACATGTCTGAATTCTGAGATTTTTTTTTTCTTCCTATTTTTCCGTACTCAGTATTGCAATTCTTTCCTCATATATTTATTACCAGGAGATCAATGTCTTGTGCTGTCATACTCTAGGTATGGTTAAAGGACAAAGCCTGAGGTTTTTTTCAGATACGCTGTAGCATGTATCCTCATCACTAATACTAAACAACAGCTAACTTTTTCCAATTTTATTATGGTGATGTCAGCAAAACATACTGAAGTGAGTTTGATGGAATGCTGTGAAAATGATTAAAGGATTGGAGTGTTTGTCAAAGGGGGAGAGGCTGAGAGAGCTGGGATTGTTTAGTGTCAGAAAGGGGTGATCTTCTCAGTCTGTATTAAATATGTGGTAGAATGGAGTAAAAAAAATAGAGCCAGGCTCTCCTCAGTGGTATCCAGTGACAGGACAAGAGGCAATGGGCATGAATTGAAATAAAGAAGTTCCATTTAAACATTAAAAAAGCAAACAAACTTGTTTGCTAATGGAGCAGTCAAACACTGGAATGTGTTGCCCAGAGGGGCTGTGGAGTCTCCAACCGTTGAAACCCAAGTGGGACATGGTCCTGGGCAAGCCGCAGTAGCTGACCCTGCCCTGAGCAGGGGGTTGGACTAGCTGACCTCCAGAGGCCCCTTCCAAACTCAACTGTTCTGTGATTCCTGGTGAGTCCAGTGTTGACCAAAGCTGGTCACGGATTTACTTTTCTTGGGCCACCTTCTGATTTTGCTTGAGATCTGTCAATCTCGGACTAATTGCAGAAGATTACTCGGTGTGGCAGGTTACTCGAGTCTTCCTGAGATTTTGATAAGCAGACAGGGGTTTATCAACCAGCTTTGTGAGACAGGGGAAAAGGGCTACTCTCTGGTACCAGTCTAATATTTGGGGTGTAGAGTAGAGCTGGCATGCTCTGAAGTTATTCCATAATTCACATTCACATGAATTCACATGTTCTCTGTCTTCAGATCTGAAATGACTGCCTCAAACTTACCTATGATGTTTAAATCAGCCTGGTAAAAGAAAAATCTATAAAAGCACAATTCAGAGAAGATGTGCTAAAATAAAATGAGGAGCTGCATGCTGGAAGTTAGGAAAAGGCCCTAATGTATCGTTGGTTTTAAAATATCCCAGTAAAGGGAAAAATGTGCAAGCTTCTACCTGAAAATTTAGAAGGTAGCACAGGACCTAACAGTGTGATGATGCTGTGCTTAGTCCTATTCTGTCATGATTTCTAGCGAGCATGTGCAAAACCCTGGAGCAGCAGTGTGCTGCAGTGCTGTCGATGTGCTGACAACAGCTCTGTCTCCTTTCTGTCAGGCTTCTGTGGAACCTTTTGGTTGCCCTCCCATTACCTTTCAGAAAGAGGGACATGGATAAAGGCCAGCTGGTATGAGTTCAATCCAGAGAAAATGGAGATGGTGCAGATGTGCAACTGAGAAACACCTTAGCAACTTTACAGAGTAAAAGCATCCCCTTAATTCTCTCTCTCTTGTTTGGCTGTCCTTTGTCCTGTCATTTGGCTGGAAAAGGTGTTCCCAGACTTTTTGTTTGGTTTTTGTGTGGATCATTATGAAGCAGAAGGCAGAAGCGGAGGCTGGCACAAAGTCCGTGCCATGTGATACACCTTCTGTGCCAGGTCAAGCGGCTAGAAAGGGGCAGCAGTGGAACTTCTCAGGATGATGTTGTGCACAGGGCCAAGTGTGATCACTGACTGTACACTAGTTTTAGGATTTTGTTTGAAATCAAAGGGGTCCTGTCCAGGCACAGGGTGGACTAGATTTAATTACTTCTGTTTTTACCTGTGTGAAGCCCACAGCTTCCCCAGCCAGCATTCTTTTCAGCCAGCACCAGAGCACATGAAGAATCTTTTGTATTTCATGCACCAAAGGGGAGCCAAGCAATAAATTTGCTCTCTTATCTTCCAGCCAGTGGACAAGCGACAGGCTTTGGTTCGGCAAGCATCTGTTGTTAACATGGAAAACTTCAAAAGGCAATATGCTAGAAGGCGATGGAAGGTATGACAGCAAGCCTTTAATCCTTCTCGTGTAAGGCTTCCCAAATCTGATGGGATCAGAGGGCAAGGTAGAGCTTGAATGTAAAATTGTAATATGCAGTAGATAAAGGAAATGTGTTTGGATATGTCTGTGCTGCATATGTGTGGTCAAATTCTCATTCTTCCCTCTCTCCATAGTTTTCTTACCGTATTGTCTCATTCTGCAACCACTTATCTCGTTCACTGGTGAAAAAGGTCCTAATACAGGAGGAAAGTTTGGTAGGTACATTTCTCAAAGGGGGAAGAAGAGGAGGACCAATTTTATTGTGCAGTGATTTTTGCTGTCCTTATATGGATGCGCATCCCAACAGGATTGCAGTGGGTTTGAATGGGAAACCAGACGGGACTGTTGCATCCCTTGTGTGTCTTTAATGCCGCTATAAGTTGTGTTACTGTGACAGAAATGGCAGGCAGGGAGAACCGATGACTCTCTAAACTTGTTAGGTGCTAGCCACATTTATTCTGTAAAGGGGCAGCATGGAGGCTACAGATTACCTTTGGATACCATAGTGGTGACTGTGCTGTCTGAGAAATAAGCCATCATGGAGAGTCTGCACTGCTGTTCTGGTGACCAGCGGTGTGATGGAGGGTGGGAGACCCCTGCAGCGCGTGTGGCCTTCTGGAATGAAACTCTGTGAGGTTTCTATGAGCTCTACTTTTCTCAGGAGATGATACACAATATTAGAGCATCGTGTTTAGGAATATGGTATCTCATTTATGTGACTGAAACATTGTGGCCTTTCTATTCCAGAGAAACTGTGAAAGCGACAGTGAGGATCTTTCCCAAAGAAAAGCCACTCATCAGAGGAGAAGCAGTGTATCATAATGTAATGAGAATTCCACGGGCAGGAGACATAGGAAATTTTCATCCTTGATGAAAAAAACCAGCCGTGACAGCAGACCTTGGCTTCTTGTCTGAATCCTTGGTATGATGCTTCCCACTTCTCAAACTACGCCAACAGGTGGATGATGTCATTAAATGCCTTCTGAGCATTTCAGGAAACAGGGAATCCGGATTCCCGGGGAAAGGCTGCAGCACAAGCACCGATTGGAGTGCTTTTATATGTTGAGCGTTTCAGTGATACTTCAATCTGTTTGTGATATCAACTGCACTCAGGACGTAGGGTTTCTACTAATATTCTTTTACTGCAGAATAATTCACATTCCGCGCAATGATTAAGACTCTCTGCATTATTATTTCAGTCAGGGAAATTGTTATTGAGTCTTAAGGGAATTTTTAAATAAACTTTTTATATTTGTTAGCAGCATAAATATTTGATAGCAGATATCTGACAGGTTTCGTTATCTGTGTGCAGTACTCTGTTATTGAAGAGAAAATGATAGTGCCATTACATATTATAACCTTTATTTCATGAACTGAGCAGTAAACAGTTCTGTACTGCAATAAGAATTGTGCTCTGGCTGTTGTCTTTGGCTGAAGGCTACCACAACTGCTGTTGTCAATTTGAGTACAACTGATTCTGGCCACTGAGAGGATGAGATAGGCCAGGACAATTTTTGGACGAAAAAGAAAAAAATTCTGTAGTGACTTACATGCACCCAAATACAATGTTTTTACAGAATGATGGCAGGATGCTTCACCAAAACAGGGCGCTTAAAAACCCAACGTATATGAAGAAATAGTCTTTATTAGACTTTGTTATTGTTTTCATTTATTATTGGCAAATTGGAGATTCATTAACGCCTATTTGTTTAGATGGTGTTTACATGTAACCCAAACCGCAGGCATCTGTGTTTTATTCAGGGGCTTGTATCCAAAATTGAGGAAGTAAGCACTTTGATAATGATGTAACGTCTCTCTACTAGGAAGTTGCATCATTTTAACTATATTAATTTCTAAGCCAGTGTCGTTAAATTGGTACCAAAACCTGTGCATAGACTAGGTTATTTTTTTCATTTAATGTATTATTAGTTTGAAGTTCATATTTATTTTGCCATTTCATAAATGAAAAAACAGAAAGCAAGCCTACTAGAAACAACTATAGATTGACAGGGACACCATTTTTGTTTGGCTTTGTGGTTGTCACTTCTAGGCTGAGGTTTTAGAGCTGAAGGTGTGAAGTGGCGTTGAAACTACTGTCAGGTTAATTTTGCCTGGCTTCCAGTTCCTAAGAAAGAAACAAAAATATACTATTTATCTGTTGCTTTGTATCCTTGCTTGGGCAGAGGCTAAAATGCAGTTGATGGGAGAGTATTTCTGTGAAAGGAAGGAAATGGATGAGAAGCACTGGAGGAGAGAGGCAGAAAGTATGATTTGAGGGAAGAAACATAAAATTAAGGAAACAGTGGGGGGGGAAAAATGCAGTGGAGAGGAACGAATATGAGAGGGACATGTAGGGAGCGGAGGTGAACCTGGACTGGGAAGGTTGTAGGAAGCGAAAGAGAATGTAGGTATAGGAATTGCGGAAGCAGGAGAATAAATGTTTTGGCAAATATGGCACTGCATTTTGATACTATTTATTTAATTCCCTTTTATTTCATGTCTTGTGCTACCGTAGCCTGTGACATGTGCCTGGTCAGAGGGTAAGGAGCAGGGCATGGGCTTTTCTTCACATTCAATTAAAAGGTATATTTATGAGCTTTCTGTGTAATTTTTGAGGCAGAATCCTCAAATAGTGCTGTAGTAATGTATATATCTTAAGAGGGAGCAGTAAGGGGAAAAACTATTGTTCAGTGTCTGGAGGCAACCTTTCGTAAATTGAACACTAAAAATACATATTTGGATAAAAAGCTGCCCAGCTTACCTACCAAATTTTGGTTCCTGCTTTCCCTGACCCATGTGTTACCATTAGTTCATTCCCTGAGCTCTGAAAAACCAAATAAACTCCAAGCCAGTGGTATTTTTCTGGATTCCTGGAGTTTCAAGACACCTTCAGTTTCCAAATTAGAGGTTGTGGGATGTGTGCATAAATCGCACTTCTGAAAATTAAGCCCTGGTTAAAACAGCGGTTAGGTTGTTGCATAAGAATTGTGCTCTCATGGAGATGAGGTCATTCTTCTTAAGTAAAATCCTAGCAACTGTTGAGCAAGATGGGATGCAGTAGAAAGGCAGACAGAGGAGGGCAAGACAGTGTGAAAGCCATAAGCTCCAGCTTATTAATTCCACATTAATAAAATATGTAAGGTTTAACAAAGGCATTACAGACAGCTCACGATGTTTGGTCTTCAGTCATCTTTTTGCCTAGGTCAGCTAAGGACAGGAGCGTTGGCTTAGTCACGGCAGAGCAGCAGGGTTGGCCTTTCTCTACAGCGCTCGGTCGTTTTGTAGCTTCATGTGGCTCCCGAGTGACACAGCATTCATTGCACAGAAACCACAACCGGCAGCACTCGTGGCAAGCCAAACTATTCCCTGACTGTTCCAGACAGGAGTATGCTGTGAGTGTATAGTCTCCTATTCTCAGGACTAGTGTTTGTGATTTATTAGGAAGTGTTACTGTGTTTTTTCTAAATGTGGTGGTCTCTGTATTTCTCACCCTGTCTATTCCATTGAGGTGGAAATTCAGCGCTGCTTCAGGGCAGAGTAGTCTTAATTAGACTGTTTACAGCACTGGAAGACACCTTCCTCAGCACAGGGGTTACTTTTTGAGGAAGAACCTAGAGGTTCCTTTTATTAAGGAGAGGAAAAAAAAAAAAGCATGGAGGGGGGTGGGTGGGACTGGAGATGTACACTTAGGTAAAACAACTTATGTTGAAGAATTTACTTTGGTGGGGGAGAAATATCTATTTTCTGTGTATTATTTTTGAGCAGTAAGGAACCTGGAGATAAGTGAAGTGGTAGTCTGAAAAAAGCAATTATTTTTATTAAGGTAAGACTATTTTTATTGTATTTTAGCAGTGATGTTTTTGAATCTGTGTGCCAATATTTTTATTAAGAGAAATACTGATTTTTATGTGCTTGGAAATAGTACAGACTGTCAAAAACAACAGATATATTTGTTATTCTGATTTGCTAATAAAATTTTGCAAAGCAGGACCAGGTGTCTTTCTTTCCACGCGAGCTTGCGCCTTTGCCTGAACAAGGTGAAGCGGGATCGGCGCTGCCGTGCTAGTTTGTCTGTCCCGACAGGTCAGTCCCTCTGTCGCCACTGTGAAATCCGCAACCTCAGCGGCGCGGAGGGACAGCGCTGGGGCAGCAACCCGCGGGCCGGGGCCCATCCGCCGCGGGAGGGGTCGAGCCCGCCCTTCGGCACGGGAGCAGGAGGCGCTCCGGGTCGGGGGCCCCCCCACCCATCGCTCCCCTCACGGCTGCCGCGGGCGGGGCCGGGAGCTGCCGCGGGGGAGCGGGTGGGCCGCGGCCCTCCTCCCTCCCCCCGGGGATGGGCGGTTTCAGGTGTTGGGACGTTGAGGAGAAAATGGAGGCGCTGCCGTAAGGGGCCGCCCTCGTGCCGGGCGCGTGCCGGCCGCCGCGCGGGCCCCGCGGAGCAGCCTCAGGGGGGCGGGAGAGAGCGGGCGTCGGGCCGGCGGCGCCCAGGCCCTCTGGAGCGGCTGGTACCCTCGTTCACCTCACCTGCGGGGGCGCGCCGCGGGGAGCTGTCGCTCGCTGCAAGCCCGGGCAGCTTGGGTTAGGGAAAAGGGTGGGCTCCCGGAGAAAGCGGATCAAAATGGCTGTTTCAGGAGGACCGCTGTGGTGCTGCGTGGGACTGCAAGAGCGGCCGTCACCTTGGCATCAACTAGCCTTTTAGCCGGAGAGGGCTAGTAGCTTTGCTGTTAGCCTCATGCTGAAGCAAGAGGGAAAGCTTGCTGGATCGTGATGGAGTGTGCTTTCTCTTCGGGATCGAGGTCCCTACGCAGCAGCCTCAGGGAGTGAGGTAAGCCTGGCTCCTTCTGTCCCCAGAAGCTCTGTGCAGTTTCTGGTGTTACCTCTGGTCTGTGCTGTTCTGACTCCGTTTACTGTGCATCCAGTGAGGTTTTTTTTCTTTTAGTAAGAGATTATTGTTCCTATCCACATTTGTATGTAGGCCAGGGAAGCTGTATGTGGCAGGGGGGAAAAAGGTATATGTTTAACAGTGTTCGGTTGAGAATTGAAGAGGACTCGGAGGCATTTCTTATACCGCTCTCTCTTTTCCTTATGGTCAGTCTGTGAATTGGCTGACATTCTCTGTATTTTTCACTTAAGCATTTACTCTGTCTTCACATAAACCTCAAACTTTTATCAACCTCAGTGCTTGAGAGGTAGGTAGTGTGTTATTTTCAGCATGCGTGTTTCAGTGAGAGGGTTTAAAAGCAGCAGTGGACCAGATACACCTTGCTGTTGGACAGGGATGGCAGGGCACCATCACCTGGAGATGATCAAGACCCTGACAAAGCAATATTAAAGCAGGCCTTGTCCAACTGGGGCAGGAAGAACTGGAGCGCTTGTGGGGGATGGCCAGAGCTGTGCCCCACCTCAGGTGACCCGGCGTGTTGCCGAGGCTCAGGGGCAGAAGTCTGGTCTGGAAGCAAAGCTTGTGAGTAGCTGAGAACATGGAGGTTTCAAATGGGCTAGAAGTCATGGCCCTCATCAGAGTGAGTGACTTTACTGAGGGAAGGGTGGTTTGAGGAAAAGCCTGGGGCGGCCCTGATGGGGTGGAGAATGGGTTTTGGCTGTGTGATGAGATGGGAAGGAATGGCTGACCTGGTTGTGGGTCTGGGGGTGGTTTGCATAGGAAGCCTGTGGCCGTGCCCTATGCACAAAATTCCCCATGTCAGAAACATGAGGCCATTAGGTTGTTTAGAGGCCTAGTAGCATGGACCTTTGGCTCTACCTGCAGCTCTGCATGCCAGAGACTTAGCTTCTCAGGTTTCTCCTCACAGTGTCATTGCGAGTGTAGTTTGCTGTTATTTTTGAGGGGTTAGGTGAAGAGACTGTCGCTGAGCATTAGTTTTTTATAGCAGTTTGCTACACTGTGTGACCATCAGTCTCAGAGGCCTAACATTTTCCTATACTACTTGGAAGTATGCTTGGTCACAAGCCTTTTTAGTGTGGGAGGTACCTGCTCAACAAAATCAAGTAAGAAAAATTGTGTCACATCAATAGTTCCTAAAATACTATTTTTCCTGAGGATGACCCTCATGAGCCACATACAATGCTTTGTGGAAAATAATTGAAGTATCCTGTAGTACTGTGTGTGAATTGACTTAATATGACAATAATTTGGGGGAAAAAACTTTTAAGTAATTCAGCTGCTTTTTAAATCTTTTTACTCTGTCTGCCTAAAATACGTTGTAATGTATTGGTATGAAATTTGAATTCCATTGGATTTATTGTTTTGAAACGTGGAAAAGCCTTTCTAATATCTAGCTTAGAGCCTCTCATTCATTTCATAAAGGACAGGAAGTGCTAAATTAAGTTTAGTCCTAGTCATGCAATTCAAGTAACAGAAAACAGTGTAAGGATGGCGTTTTGGTCTCAGTGCTGAGCCTTAGTCTTTTCTCAGCTCTTCCTGGGCCTTTAAAAGCTGTAGCATACAAAGTTAAGTCCTCAAAAGTCTGCAACAAAGCCTGATTTTGAAATGTGAATGGCTCAAAGCCCACCGTCATGAAAATTTGGGAATATGTAATGCCACTCTGTCATCTAGAGTACTCCGTTTCCCTGCATCTGCACCTGGATCAAAGCAAGACGAAAGGCTTTTTCTCAGTCTGGTACAGGAGCACTCTGTAAGCTGGTGGTAGTAGAAGTCAGTATTTAAATATGCAGTGTCCCCTGCACAATGTGTATCTGTGCCTGTTTTTATACTGCTATGAGGCAAATCAGTGCATTAAAGAC